TACCCCCAAAAATCTAATTTTATATAGCATTAAGGAGAAGAGGTTGGTGCAACTTACAAACTTTTGCAAAAATGTTTGAGAAGCCTGCCCTTTTAAAACTTACATTTAACTTGTGAGAATGTAAAGTAAATTGGTTAACAATTTACAGCTGAAGAAATGGAGAGAGTATAGACACTTACCAATTCTGGCACACTTCCAAAATATACCCAACAGTCTGCATAGAATAAAAAAAAAAGTGGCTATTTATTACTGGGAATGGTAAATCATTCTCTCAATATTACATAAAGAATTAATTATATACTGGTTTACTAATCTTTAATGTTTTGCTTCAAATCTGAAATCTGTTTATTTGATGTCAAGCTACCATTTACATATGAAAGTAGGACACAATAGTTTATCACCCATCGATTTATAGAAATTGCTATGAACTAGAATATACGTGGTGTCACAAATCAAACCCAGGGTAAATTAATGTGAGGGTGGCAAAAATTTTCCCGAGGGCTTTCTTTATGAAGCACTTTACTTTCAAAAGCAGAAAATTTATATGCCAATTTAATTAAGCATTGATTTTGAGAAAATGATAAACATGTTTTAGATAAATTGACATTAAAAAATACTCATACTAAAAAATGTGGTTCTTACAGAATGTAGCTCTATATTTAAAATAATCTATAATTATGGATTCCAATTGTATTAATAGTATTTACTTGTGTGTCATTCAATAAGGAGAAATAAAAATAAAATGTGCCTATGTTTTCAATATAAGTAGAAAACTTCCTAGTTTAGGGGACACTTTATACGAGTTCATTAAACAGGGCATTTAAAAACAGATATTCTAGAATTAAGATGTTCATTTTAGTTCTATGAATGACTATATTGTGAATTACATATCATATGAATATATTATTTATTTGGCATATATAAAAAGCACCACCTTTAAGAAAAAAGTGAGTAATCAATGAATAGAGATATCTGAAAAAATAAAAACATTATAGACACCATTTTGTTGGTCCGACAAAAGAATAGAATTATAAATGGCATTACATATGGTTACAAATTAAGATAAATTAACATTATCTGTTGCATAAATTAGGATTATTAGCTCAAGAAAATCTCAATACTTAAATTTTAGGGAAATTTATAGTATACTTTTTTTTTTTTTTTTTGCCTGAAGGAATGGCTGGCTAATGAGTCATTATATCTGAATGGGTAAGAATGAAAGAAAATACTGGTTCAATTAAGTTCTATTTATGTTTCTCCTTCGAAGTATAATAACTTCCTGACTTCAAAGCAAAGGTCTCTTAGTTTAGATTAAATAGAATAAGCAAAAATAAAAATTTATTTCAAAGGATGGACATTCTGACAGGTAAAAAAATTTTACTGTAGGAATAAAGGACAAAAGCCATACACATTCCTGAAAGTAATATAATATAAAGGCCAGACTATGCTTAAATTCAATCCTGCTTACTGGTTGCATAACTGTGAGCAAATTAATGTCTCTCGTTAGCAAAAGCACCTACCCTCACACAGTTGTTATGAAGATTAAATGAGTGATTACACAGAAAATCCTCAGAATGGTGACTAACATGTTCTGTGTTCAGTAATTCACAGGCTAAACGGACATGTGACAGTAACTTCAGATATCACTTAAAATTGTCTTACATTTCTTCAAAAAATGGAAAACGATAGGTCAGGCATTTGCAAAGCTGTGGTTCCTTGATTCTAGAACTTATTGATTATAACATGCACTAATAATTTAAAGCTACTCTGGTTGCAGGAGCAAGCTGAGGGACCCAAAGCAGGACACCTAAAGCCCCTCGCCAGGAAGCTTAGAGCTCCACAGAACACAGTCTGTAATCAGAAGATAGATCAAAAAGTCAAGGTCCGTTCAGGTCCAATATTTTAGAAGTAATTTAAAATAGTGTTAAGAAATTGGCACAACACAGCTAACATATTAAAAGTACATTAAATGAATAAAGAATTCTAACTTGGCAACTTGGAGACTTATCAGTGCCACTTTGGCTTTTTTCCCACATATTTCTCTACCTACATATTTCTGTTAATACTCCAAATGATATTTATTAAAAAAAATAGGAACTCTGTTAGTTGATAAGAAAAAATGCAATTATGCTGCTTAGTTACTATAGCTATATACCAATAAGTATACCTGCTGATAATGCTATTGGGTCTATAAAACTAGAAAAAAGTACAAATGATCTTTTTTCTGCTGCTGAGTTCTAACATTATTTAAACAGCAAAAAATGAGGTTATTTTAAATAGTGAAGTCATCAAGAACTTATTTTATCCAATCTATCTAGATATCTATACCAAAGCATAGTATACTCTCTCTATAATGAAAGAAAAATTTACCATGAGTCTCATAAAAACATAATTGTAACAGAAAGGGACATGGCCTATAAAAATTTTTTCTATAGACAATATCTTATGTACAAATCAAAATTATTAGGTTATTAAGTATGAAATATCTGATTTCCTTAAGTACTAAGTTTGACAGTTGCTATCTCTGACATTTCACTCTGACACTTCTAGTTTTATTTTTATTGTGGAGGTACATCCTCATTCTTTCAAATGGAGTTTGGCTTGTGATTATCTTTCAAAAAATTTTTTAGAGTAATTTTTGTGATACCATGGATAAGTCAGAAATTTGTGTTATTTTCAAATATGAGCTCTATTGGGGAACCAATGCAGTGCAGACAGCTCAAAATATCAACAAAGTGTTTGGCAAGGATGTGGCTAATGAATGCATAGGACGTCAATAGTTTGAAAAGTTCCATTCTGGTGATTTTAATCTTGAAAATAAGGCACATGAGTGACCTGAGACCAAGATGGATAATGATGAGTTGAAAGCTGCAGTGGAAGCAAATCCATCTCAACCTACGCGTGAATTAGCAGCAAGGTTTGATGTTACTATTCCAACAATATTGGACCATTTAAAACAAATTGGCATGGTAAAGAAGCTGGATAGATGGGTACTGCATGAATTAAAGGAGCATCAGAAGAGAAATCGTCTGGAAGCTTGCCTTTCTTTGCTGTCGCAACATAAAGGCGAACCATTTCTACGCCGTATTGTTACGTGTGATGAAAATGGATTTTTTTTTTTTTTGATAATTGCAAGCATGCAGCACAATGGCTAGATAAAGACGAAGTGCTTAAACACATGCCAAAATCAAGTATTTGTAAAAAATTTGTAAAAAAATCTGTAAAAAACAGCTAATGGTGTCTGTTTGGTCACCCAGCACCGATATTATCCACCATAGCTTCATGAAACCTGGTCAATCGATCATAGCAAATGTCTACTGCAACCAAATGGATGAAATAATGAGGATGCTTGTGATTAAGCAACCGAGATTGGTCA